GCACTTCCAAAAATAAACGTATTACTAACCCATTGTGCCAGGGACATGCAATATCCACTGTAGATTTATGTCAGTTTTGTTTATACATCGATAACTTCACAAGCCTTCAGTGTGCAGAATAGTTACCGAGAAGTCAAGAAGTTAGGCCAGATTTATCTCATCTGCTTACCCCATCCTGTATTTGATTGATTTTTTTTTTCTTTTTTCTATTCATAATTCTAGGATAATTATTATTAATGTCATAATCCTTGATATTGGCTTTGTTATTATTTTAGTGCCCTTCCGAAAATTTAAGCCATACTGTAAGTAGTTGAGGTCAGGTAGGTCTAGTAATTGACTCCTTAGGGGCTATGTCTTTGTGGAGCCATCTGTGTATAAACAAAATTAGGAAATTAAAATCACTGTGAACGGGGCATGTGTATGCACACTCCTGGTGTCAATAGGCCAAGAGATAGTATGGGGAGAGAAAAGAGAGAACTTTAAATACTTACTACCTATATGTAATTAACTGATTAAATTAATTTGATTATAAAATGTTTGAATTGTGTTTTATTCATATCCATGTCTGCTTTAAAAAGCAATTTCAGATGGTTAAACCAGTTTGTTTTATTAATAATATCCCTCCCAATCCATTGCTCGTTGCTGTCATGGGGTGGCTTAGGAGAAGGAGACTGGTGCCCCAGCCCTCACCTCAACTAATTTTACATGTTTTTTTCTTTTCACCCTTTCTTAATCTTTGTCTTCTTCATCCCCTTCTTCTGACCACTTCCTAAGGTGTGAGAGCTGTGCTGAAAGGATGGAAGGCTGGCTTTGTGTCAGTCATGATTAACCTCTGGGAGCCTTGGGCACGCTATTCTCTTGATTAATTGCCTAGAGCTCTACTCAACCCTTATGTGGACCCTGAGGGGTAAACCATTTTTTTATCCCACTTACTTCAGGCTCACCACAGCCAATAATGAAGATTTTTTTACATATGTTGGAGGCAATAAAGCTTGTCCCTTCAGCAGATAGCCTATCAAAATTTGATTTCATTGGTTTCCCAACCCTAGCCTCTCCTTAGACAACGGCTCTGACCACTGATACTAATACCCCCTCATTGATGTCTACTGTCAACTCTATACATTCTGAACTACCCACCTAGGTCATTACTCAACCTTTAACCCAGTCACGCCAGGTACATTTTGTAGCCAAAATTTAAAAAATCCGGGTGGCTACAAAATCGGCGGGGGGAGCTTCCCCAGAGTCTGTCCGCCCGCCCGGCTGCGCGCCGCTTCTGCCTTGGAGCGCAGCCCCGAGACAGCATCGCACTGGCGGTCTGCCCGACATTGTTTATTTTTCCCGGTGTCTCATATATGTGACACCCAGGACGAATGGGTTAAAAGGCACCCCCTACTTTCTCTCAACATTCTCCACTCCATCTCCTACTGCAGTCTTCTTCATTGTCTACCCCCTCCCCCCTCATTACTACTCTTCATCCTTATTGTCCTTCTCCCCACAGAACTACCTCTTTGCATCTCCCCCAGTATCACTTCCCTCTACCCTGAACCATCCTACCTCTACTCCCCCTCTCCCCGAGTCAAATTCCTTTTCCCGTCTGTATCCAGATACTCCAATCTCTACCATTTCTCCAATGCCTACCCCTCCTTCTCACTTACCTGTCACACCAGACAACCTAAACATTCCACTCCATCTTTGCCTACCACATCTTCTCCTATGGCCTCCTTTTCCTCTGCTCCCCCAACTTCTTTCCCCACTTCTCCTCCTTACAAGAGATCCTTTGTTTCTCAGACCTCCCCCACCCAAATCCCCTCCAAAAACTCTTAAAGACATCCAAAAATTTCTAGACATGACCCAATTCCTCTATTCCTATTCCCTCTATATTCAAAGTATTTGCCAATATCCATCCTCCCCCCCTGCAAATTTCCCCACCCCTCTTCCTCCCAGTTTTTTCGAACACACCCCATCCTCTCCTTCTCTATGTGCACCATTTCCTCTTTGTTCCCCAATATCCTTACCTTTCCCACCTGGATACTTACATGAATCCCTTCTGTTGCAACATTATCCTTCTCCGGATCCCTCCTCTCTTGACACTCTTCCTGATACTTCATCACCTTCCCCAGTTTCCATATCTCATTTCCCAGATTCTTCTCCTGCTACTTCTCCAACAGCCGTCTCTACCTGTATTACCCATCGACTTTTTCTTAATAGCTTATTTGCTAGTTTTCTTTAAACAATGTTCTCATTGCTACCCTAGCCACAGATATACCATTTCATCTAATCGTCCTTAACCATTTTCATGACTAATCTCTGATTTACTTCATTTGCACCCCCTCTTAACCCTTTTCCCTGTCATACTGTCCTATAACACTCTATAACCTTTGACATTTAACACCCTTTATTCTATTCCTTAACTCATTTTTAACCTTTTCTCCACCATATGACCTTTGATATCTAGCACATTTATTTGTTTCAACCATTAACCATTAACCATTATCAATAACATTTACAGTAACATTTGTTTCTGGAATATGGAATATACTGAAGCCATAATATTAAATCTGATTACTGTGATCACCATAATGTCTTTCCGATAGGTACTGGCCTTTTCTAATTTTACAGATAAATTTTGTATCAAACATGATTCATAGTACATTAGTTTTCATCATGCTGTACGAGTATGTTATCTATGGTGACATCCACCTTGTGTTGCTTCTAAATATCTTGAAGTTTGATGATTATGTTTTTTGTGTGCTGATTTAATGCCTCCAGTGGTGTCAAAGCTGTATGATGTCCAAAGAATGTGTCTTGTTATGCCTTATGAAGCATTGAAATGGTAGGCTGCATACATCTTTCTGTAAAACCCATCAACAAACTGCATTTTAGCTGCTGCATTTTTGTTTCTTCATCTGTAGAATGTACTACTACATTTTGTAGTCCAAACAAATAGATATCCTATGATTGTTCTGTATGGATAATGTTGCATACTTTGGCATGTTTGGCATGAGCATATTTAATATTGCTTAGCTGTAAAATACTGTGAAAAACAAGGTATGTTTCACAACTCTGTCCTCAGCAGTTCGTCCTTGAGTGAACGTAAGTGCTTTCAGTTCTAACACAGTGGGCAGAAGTAAAAGTCTACTTCAAGGCAAGCCCCTGCATAAAAGGCCATGTCTTGTCAGACAGAGAGAGAAAGAGACAGCAAACAGAAGAAAAAACACAAGGTCTAGCTTGTCGCCACTCTGGGGGTTACTTGAGGGTCTCACATCTACCTTCGACAAAAATCCCATTGGTCAAGGCCCATTTCATTACCAGCTGTAGACCATCTCCCATCTTATTGACATCTGCAGACAGCGCTAGGTTTATATGTATAGTACATAAATCTATAATGTTTTGCTAAGTTGTATACTGGCATTTGTGAAACTTTCTGTGAATGTTACCCTTCATATAAACAAAGCTGGGTCTTCTTAGACTGCCTTTCTCCTTGTTCAGATGTTTTGATGACTGACAAACACAGTAAGTGAAATAGTTCCTTTTTATGTTTAGGTTGGATACCTGTTATAGCATTGTGTTGTTTGACACCAGAAAAATTATTACTTTTCTGGCTCGCAGCCACAAGTACTACAGTGATGTTCTTTAGGTTCTCAGTACTCATTTAAAATTTGAAAACTTGTCATAAGACTAGATAAAACAATATAAGCTTTTATTTATATATATATATATATATATATATATATATATATATATATATATATATATATATATATATAAAATTTAGTTTTTGAATATGCATTTTTCTGAAAAAGATTTTGTAATGCAAAACTCTTCAGTTGCTTGATTGAGTTGATTTTGCAATGTTTATCTTATGTGACTGTAACATGTATAAAATATCTTGTTTTTAGCTTTGGGGTCCTCTTTGTCTACATCTTTGCTTAATATGTTACTTGTCTCCAAATCAATTGAGATTCATTTCTCTCATGTTAATTTTATTATCTTTAATTCCATTCTGTTTTGCAAAATTTGAGGAAACGCCATATTGACCAAAAAATTGGTAATGTTAGCTGTTGTTAGGTATGGTCCCACTACTTATCAAAGTATAATATAGGAACAGTTTGCATGGCAATAAAGTGTTTAGTATACCGAGTTATATTTGAATGGAAAGTGGAAAAAATCCAGAGGGAGTGATTTATAGATATTTCATATGAATTCCTTGCTCTCCCATCATAAGGTAAAATAGTCTTAATAGTTGTTAGTATTACTGAATTGAGTAAGACATTAATTAGATATTCTGAGGTTTTCGTGAGGTGCAATTTATCCCTGAAGTATTTCCAGTTGAATGAAAGTTGTGGCTGTAGCTTTGTGGTATTTTAGTAGTTTGTAGAATTAATTTATCTTGGATGCACATTTCAGGAATTTATATATTTCTTAATTGGTTCTTTACAAGTAAATGCTGAAGTGTTTAGATCGTCAATATATTCTATGTGCATTATATACTCTGGAAAAGAATGTAGAAATAATGTAATAGGGACTACTAATGATTAATAATTGAAATGATAAGTGATACTACTACTACTACTACTACTACTAATAATAATAATAACCTATACCTGTTCTTATATTATTGCAAACTGTGTTCCAGTAATAGTAATCATGATGTTTGCTATTTATGTTGTTATTTCTGTCTTCATCATCATCCCCAGTAATATTATTTTATCAAAAAAGTTCTTTTTCTCGATACTCATTATGATTCTTCGTTTTCCCAAGGTTTCTTTGTTAGGAGTGAAGTAATGTATAGGGTGTTGTGAATAACCCTTCTTATGATAACACTTTGGACACGCATTTCACTGCTCCTCACCTTCTTGTAATGGTGCACACACCATGCAAAAACATTTAAGTGACTGATTCATTTAAGTCATCAGTGTTAGTTTTTGATATTTGATTAATCCTTGGCAGGAAATACATTTTAACACAAGAGGAAGTATTTAGAGAAATGACACAAAAAGTCTCTTTCATTATTTTATTGTCAAAATGGTAATGTTCGTACAAATAGTATTTAATGGCATATGTCATAGAAAATTGAATTTGAATGGCAGATGAAAACATGCCAACCCATGAGAGTCAACGTCGGTTGTGGTATAAAGGCAAGAGAACTTTGTTCGTATATACTGTAATGTCCTGCCATGTTTTGTTAGTGTTTGAGGTAATAATGTCAAAACTCAGGGTGGTATAAAGTTGCAGTGACATCATAACTCAGGCTTGTACAAAGATGTTTTCTGTAAGACATGTAAGTATGCTATGAAAACCAGTACAAAATTTACCAAAGAACAAATGGATCAGCCATTTTCTGTGTTTTAAATCTACAGCTACTTATAAATCTAGCTAATATGACAAGTCTTGTGACAAAACCTTGAGTTATGTTAATGACCTTTCCCTTAAACCTCATCCACACATTTCATTTATCTTAACATACAGCCCTCCGCACCAAACACTGGACTGTGGTGTGCATTTATAAAAAGGTTCTTTCTGATTATTCATACCTTAGCCAGAAGTAGATTGGGGGTAGATTCTGGAGAGGAGGCCTAATTTTACAGCATAATACTCATCTTATCCTCACCACACACCTTTTCACATTCTGTTTTCATCTCTGGTAGACACACTGCTTACAGTAAATCATCGATAGGTACTGATCCTGAGTTTTCTCAAGAGAAAATGAGAAATAACACTGAAAGTCTACATATCACTTGATTAAATAAAGTATATATCTATATATTTATATATATGACACAACAGGGTTATAAACTTAAGTAACATCCAGCAGCAGCAACAGGGAGATACACTAAGAAAATCAAAGGTCACAATTTTTCATCACTTCCGGCCACTATGCTCTTGCTGATCACCTCAACTTGCATCGTGAGAGGGACTGACGATGTTGTAAGGATGCAGCATCAACAGCAACTTGATAATAACATGGCCGTGGACAAAAAACTGTGTTCCCAAACCTCCACCTGGGCAGAGAGATATCAACAAATTCTAAAGAGACTCAAACCTAAGTGTAAAACGTATAGATCATCTCCTCATAGCTTCGACAGTTGGCAAGATGAACAACCTCCTTGCCAATCCCTTAAGAGTAAGTGTCATCTGCTAAGTATTTGTCTAATGTCGTCTCTGGCTGCGGGCCATTGCACCAAGTGTGTGTGAGAGAGAGTATAAAGCAATGTTCTGAATAATAATGATATAGGTGGAAGCACATCTTACCTCACTTGCGGTCATAAGCTGAGAAACATGCGGCGCTATGATACAGATCACTTATATACTAATTTCTTGTTCACTTGTGGAAATTAGGATAATATCAGTAGTCTATCAAAGGTCAATCATCACAATGTTCAGTTAGTAGGACTCCCAACAGGAAACAAAGCATCAAAAGAAACATGATTAAACAATGGGTTCACCTGTATGACCTTAATAAAGTATTACCTTAATTACTGATATTTGTTACTGAAGGAAATAATATCTTTTGTTAATGGAATGATCACTTGTCGTGTTTCTTAACCCATCTGTCTCTACCTTCAATTAAACCTTTTCCATAGTGAACGATTTTAAACCATGTTTATTCATCTGGAAGTGTAGAACATGTTATTAACAATGATTAATGATGGTGAAAATATGAAATACTTTACATCTATTAAATGAAGATCACAGGAAACAATTAATAATTCAAAGATAGCCTACAACACACAATATACTCCACAGAAGAACCCAAACGAATTAACATCATAAATATAACAGATACACCTTCTTAACATAGTGTTAAAAAGCACAAGAAGTGCTCAACCACTCTCCATTTGTCAATACACATCTAACAGCAGAATACTGTAAAATCATTTTTCCATTATCTTACAAATCCGCTTTGCTTCCTTGTCTTAACCTAAGTTTCAAAATACTATAAAACAACTTTTTTTTACTTGCACTGACTTTACATGGATGGAATTTCCAGTGTATGACAAATTAGCAATTGGACAATGGAAATCAAACCCTGGTATTGAAATATATGAGTGGTAATTCGTTCCTAATAATTCACATTTTAAAAGTAAAATGGATGCCCCTGTAGGAATTCCCTTCAACAAAGTCTTTCTAAAGCTTTCTTTCAAAAGAATCCATATCTAAAGTTAACTTGTTTTCAGTTTTGACTTTAAATTATGGTTCGCAATGGGAGAAAGAATGTTGAATAGTAATTTCATAATAACATTTTTTGTTCTTTTCTATGACTAATGATGAAGTACTTTCTGTTTTCCTTAGCAAGACCACCAGGGCCTGGCAGGTAACTACAGATTTTTTTATTAATGAGAGAAGCAGGCGGGTAAATCCCCCCCATACACCCCACCACCGCCACCACCACCACCAGGGTACAAACCAAGCCGCTGGACGCTTGAATTTACAATATATGAGAAAAGCTGAGGATCATTGTACCGTCATCAAGATCATAATAATCTCATGATCAATTTTACATGCTACAATGTTAACACACTGTTCCTACAACACAGTCTTTAGTCAGAAGCACACTAGTGGTCTAGTAGATTAGCTTTCAAAAAGTATTAAAATATGTTGCACGGATTTACAATGTACAGCTGTGGCACATTTGAGCTACCACATGTTAAGTTTACAAGTATGGAGGTGAGAATATGTGATGAGATCGTTCACAATGAGCACTGGATGAGAATTCCTTTCATGACGTCTCTCTCCTATTTGTAGAACATGTAAATGAGCTGTATATAGAAATACAACCTAAGGCTCAAAGAAACAAGAAAAATTATCGAAATTCAGTGTCAGACAGTATGGTGGGTGTCGTTCCATCCTTCAGTAGAGCCAAAGTGTTCTAATCTGGGCATAAATTAGCCCTCTTGGGAACGTGTTCTCTCTCCCTATTCTTGAGCAGGACAAACTTACAAAATCAATTTACGTAAAAATATTATCACAAAGCAAAGGTGTTAATGACTAAGGTTAAGATTAGTTTCAGCAGGCAGAATCTGCGTTGCTGGGATGAAAATCCTCGTGTTATAAATAAATACTCATTAAATATTTATCCATTAGAGTATTACAGCACGTCACCTTATATGCTCTTAAATAAATCAACAATCATATCAACTACTATTCTCCCTTCTCATTTACGCATTGACTTTGTTTTTACCAAAATGCATATGATTAAATGATCAAATATCCTGTCACAACTTGTCAACTTTATAAATGAGTAAATGTAAAAAGTTGTTGGCACAAAATATAGCAATAGTTCTGGCGACACATCAGACAAACGAATCACTCGCAGTAGCACTTGCATTTACACTCGTCGCACAAGTATTATCAAGTGGTAGCAGTGTGGCAGTAATGGTATTGGGTACATACTTTATCAAACGTACCAATACTATACCCTTGAGGCTAGTATCCTCTGAGGTTCTATACCCAGTCTTTAGGTTGGCACCGGTTTGAGTGTGAGGAATGAGTGGAGTGAAGGCTTACGGTGTCCGCGTGCTCCGTGGCGGGCAGGATGGAGGCGACACTGCCGGAGGGACTGGCAGTAATGAGGGAGAGCTTCTCCCGGAGACGCTCTGGGACCGAGGAATAGGAGTTGGTCTTGGAGGAGAGCGGGGAGACGGAGGAACGTCGCCTCTCTATCTCCAAGTTTCGTCGGTTCTGGTTCTTTTCGGGGCACGTGAACCTGCGCTCCTTAGATGGGCTGTTGGGCTTCTGGGATTTCTCGGGGCTGCTAAACCTTCTTCTCTTGTCCGGACTGAGACCCTCGTCCAACACAGAGCGTTTTCTCTTGTCCGGACTCACTGGTGGCCGATTATAAGCTTCCATACTTATAGAACGACGATACTTACTCGGCCCCAAGTCAAAGTCCAACCCTTCCGGACTGACTGATTTCGTTACCCTGAGCGAGCTGTGTGTGCGGGCTCCTCGCGGTGAGCTGATGAATGCCTCGTTTACGAATCCCCTGAGAGGACTGGCCCTGTTGCTGTCGCTCGTCAAGAGTCCTCGCATTGATCCATTTCTAACAGGACCCATCTGCGGGCTGCTGGTAGGCCCTAAGATTGCGTTGACTGAGCTTAATGAACCATTTAATGAGCCCATTAAGGAGCCATTAACCACTGGCTTAGCAGTTTTCTCCTCATCAGCCAGGAATTTATTGATGAGCCAATTTCCCTCACTCATCTTCCGATGTTTATCTGGACTTCTCGCTTTATATTTCTGGTTCTTGTCTGGACTGGAAGATCTTCGGATTTTGTCTGGGCTGACTGAATGATTTCGGGAGCGTCTTCGTTCATCTTCCAGACTGGCCCGTTTGTTGGGACTCCGGGACCGTCTGTTCTTGTCTGGCGACTCCGCACCGTGGCCGTTCGACCTGTGCTTCTTGTCGGGGCTTCGACTCCTGTGATGGTTTTTCGAACTCTTGGACTTCGACTTCTTATCATTACTACTCTTGGACTTCCTCTTGTCTGGACTTTTGCTCTTGTGTTTATCTGGACTTAGCGATCTTGGTCGGAACGTCTTGAAGCTAATGATGGAAAATCTGCTGGAAAGCCTGTCTTTGACCCTGCTTTCGCTGGTCGCCCCTTCCTTAGCCCCGGGGCCGCTCTTCTCCGACTCCGTGGGCGAGGTGACGGCACCGTCCGCGCGCCTGCTGGGCTTCTTGCCGGGGCGGCTCAGCTGGCTCTTGGCGGCTCGCTTGGCCTTCGTGGCCGCTCGCCGCACCTCGTTGACTTTTCTCTTGAAGGGTAAGTTTGCCCTGACGACCGTTGGGTGTACGTGCACGTGGTTGGCTGATGAATCGGCAGTGCCATTGGCTGTGGTGCCATTAGCCGTTGTGCCGTTGGCTGTGGCACCATTGGACGTGGCTCCGTTTGCATTCATGGTGTAATGCGTTGTCCCAGAGTTTTTATGCATGACTGTCATTTTCTTCAGCTTCATCTTCTCCGGCGTCTTTCCGAATACTTTGACTGTTGCCACC